GGGAACCCGGCTGGCATTACTGATCACTCACGCTTCTATATACTATGTATGCATATGTGTGTGTGTGTGTGCGTGTGTGTGCGTGTGTGTGTGTGTGTGTGCGTGTGTGTGCGTGTGTGTGCGTGTGTGTGTGCGAGTGCGTGTGTGTGTGTGTGTGTGTGTGTGTTTGTGTTTGTGTTTGTGTTTGTGTTTGTGTTTGTGTTTGTGTGCGTGTTTGCAAGTGTGTTTGTGTTCGTGTGCGTGTTGCGTGTTGCGTGTTGCGTGTTGCGTGTTGCGTGTGGCGTGTGGCGTGTGGCGTGTCTCGTGTCTGTGTCTGTGTCTCGTGTCTGTGTCTCGTGTCTGTGTCTGTGTCTGTGTCTGTGTCTGTGTCTGTGTCTGTGTCTGCCATCAACACATTTGTATATTACTTTATGATTGTTTTTATTTAAAAAAACACAATCTGCTGTTCCTGCAATGACAATTTGACGCTCATGAAACGTTGACTGGCAGTTGTTCAGGATTGATAGATCAAACGTTGTTGGGAACTCATGGAACCATCAAATGCCGGGCTTCAACAAATGTTCGTTAGATTTTTAGAATTTTTAACAAAAAATTTGAATAAAAAACGTTATTCATTTTCTGTCAGGAAAAATAAAACTTTTCTCATATGAACAATTCAGTTAATTTTTTGCGGTATTTGCCTTGTAAATAGATTGCTACATAACACAGATTTAACTTGTTCAAAAAGTAAGAATTTCTATCAGAAACTCATTCATATTATCATATAACGAATATATGAAAATCTATTCAATATTCAAAGATGAAAAACAAAATGAATCTGAATATTCTGTTTCACAACATTTCCAATCAACAAAGGATCTTTAATTCGATCTATTTCTGCATTGTACGAATATTCGTTTTAACAAATGGAGACAAAGGCGATCCTCACAGAGAAGAATATTGCTAGATCCGATCAACATGGGTTCGCATCACAAATTAAACACCCCCAAATTCCAGGTTCGATCAACACAGGTTCGCACATATTTATGTTACATTTGACATCTTGACAAAGACATGTCACATAACACATATAATGATGCATATAAGATCTTTGATAGAAAGCCATAATATTTGTATTTTTCATTTATGTATATCGTACATACCAAATTATTGGTATGATATGAATCATGAATTCCAGTATATATGCTGTATCATTCAACTATATCTCCATCAAATTTATTTTTTTGAAAAATGATTTAAGTATTAATATAATATATATCGTCAAAAATATTTGGGTGATTTTGTTATGATAAAGTTATGATTTTTTTTTCATGCAAAATACTTGCAATATTCTTTCTATAAATGAAAAAAACCACACTGTCAAGTATTGGTTTATTCGTGGCCTGCCAAGGCACCCGCAGATCATGTGCAGTGTTCACTTTCACTGGCGGCTGGATGGGATTGGGATACCGGTGACATGTTCTGTTTTGGGTGCAATCCAATGACTGTGCTGTTAACAAGGTTCAATTGCATAAAAAAACAACATTTTCTAGGAAATATACATTTTTATTCTCCAATATGGTTTTTTTCCCATCTTAAAATTAATTTAAGTTTTCTTGAAACTTTTTCCGCAAAAAATAAACAGAGTTAGCAAACATATTGACAAAACTTATTGAAAGTAGTACATGAACCAGATCCTCACAGTACAGTGGCTGCGTCCAAAAGTGAACATCTCACCGACTTCCCAACCCCGTTCCGTTGCCAAGTGAAATCTGAACATAATCTGTGGTACGCGCCCAGGCAAACCACGTATAAAGACATGTTTGAGTGTGTGGTGGGTGTGGCATGCATGTATGCATACGTTTGTGTTTGTGTATGTGTGTGTGTTTCGGAAACTTTAACGATGCAATATTTTTTTATTCATGTATGTACTTCTTTAGATGTTTGCAGCTGCACGCTTCGTTTTATTTAAATTTAAATTACATAGAATATTTATTTGCGAACGTGGTCGTAGCATTGAAATATATATATATATGGAAAACGAATCCGAGGATTGAATTTTAATTTTCTCGGATCTAAGATTCAATATTTTGGCGAAATTTTGTATTGGAATCTTATATATGGGAATATTGAAGTTCAATAATTCGGTTTGAATTTTGATTTATTTGTTTTGTTGGTATGGAGCATGACTCATTATTTATTCGTACCAAAAAAAAACAATCGTCATAACGACGATATGAATATTGAAGTCTTATTGGGGTTTCGAAACATCTCTGCCATTAAAAGCTCAAAACTATATTTATTACAATTATCTAAATGACAATTTCCATGCTATTATCAAACCTTTTTCAATCCTGAAGCACTACCAGCCGTTTTAATCTGCACGATTTCTAATATTATTCACTACAATCTACGCTAATTCCCCAAGCCCAGCATCGGCCGGCAGGTTAACTCCAACCCCATGTCTGATATTTAGATATAGATTCGTGATCAAATTCTAATTAAAATCTTAAGATTCAAAACGACAATAAAGGATTTCTTCATCCTGTATAGTATCAATTTTCTTGCGGACGAAGCTTGGCCATGATAATGGTTGTACTGGCGATTCTGATCTTACCCGTCATATCTCCTTTCACCAAAAAATCTGCCCAAAATGTCAATCCTGAACTTGCAGGAATGTCATGAATGGTCGTCCTAGCCCCACAAGCATTCCCCGGCCACCCCGGCCACCCGAGCACGAGCACGGAGCATGTACGAAAACCTAAACCGAAACAGAAGACCCCATGAAAAAGGCCCCACTACAAAATTTGCCAGAAGCAGCAGCAAAAGTAACCAGGCAAGGCTGCAGCTCTGGCACGATGGCGTTAACTTTTGCACCGTAAACAACAAATCCTACACCCAAGAACCTGTATCTGAAACCCTAAACCCTGAACCCACCCTACACCCCAGAGCCTACCACATATACTCGTCATAAGGAAAGCCACCTTGACACTACCAGATCTTGTGAGCACAAGGAATATCTTTCGTACCCGCTGAATATGACTATCCGCTCGTGGCGTGCCCGGGCGGCGCTTCGCCGCAGGCATGAGGCAGCCGACTAGGGCGGATGGCCTGAGCCGGAAGCCCAGCGGATCTTGCCCAACTGCCTCTTCGAGGCCCGTCAGGCAGGCGGTTTGCGCCGGCTTTCTATAGATAAAAGGGGACCAACTATCAACTGCTTACTTCGCACGGAAAATCTGTTGGTGAATTTAGCGGGCTTGACCGTATTCGTGATAGACAAGAAGATATCTTTTCAACCTTTTTTGCGGTCAGACGTGTAACTGGTGATACTAGCCTTGGCGATACGAGTCATCACCCTATTTCAGCTGGAATGAAGGGCCTAACAGACACTCAAAGGCTTTAGTCGCCAGCTTCTATGTACTGTACTCGCCATCTCTTTAACGCCCAATGCTGGCCTAGAAGAATATTAGATTTTTATCATTCATGTTTGCGACATGCTTCTCAATTTAGTTTTTTTTTTCTATTCGGCGGTGTATGAGTACAATCCACTAACTACCAGAAGCTTCTTCAATTATTATATCTAATTCATTCAAGTTCTTTTCTTCACAACGTATTCTCTATGTTCTTTAATTATAATTATAATATATATTATCTATAATTTATTTTAGTATTATTAATATATTAAAAGCTACAATAGATATATATAGAAATCAATTTAAATAATTTTAATATAATAATTTTATAAAATAAAAATAACGATATTAATAAAGAATAATATTAATATAATAATATTATAAAATAAAATAACGATATTTATAAAGAATAATATTAATATTATGACCACTAAATCCGAAAAAAAAAAGATCCTCACCTAAATAAAGAATATATAAATACGGAAAATAAGGGAGAGAGTGACCATATATATTATCTAAGACTATTATAGAGTTTTGTCGAATAATATCAGAGATTTTCTTATCGATTATCATATTCTATTCTTATCTTACTACGAATTATATTCGATGAAATAAATATAACAAGAATCGAAGCGTAATTAGCCACTGAATATTGAATATTCATATTTATGTCTTAAGACTGACACTGCTAATATATAAGCTAAATCATATACATAAATGTACTTTGCATGAAATAGATATTTTTACTACAATCAACCTTCGCGCACTAATAACTCTGAAAATGAAAGCGAATTTTCGCGACAACTCAGCCAGCAAAGTCGTCGTCGGAATCATCTCCTCCGCAACAAATATGCTGATTCTTTACTCTCAAATTGCTTCACTCGCATGTTCATGCATAGCAAAAAATTGAGTTGGAAGAACCCCATCCACATCCACCACCACCACCACCGCCACCGCCGCCACCACCACCACCACCGCCGCCACCACCACCACCACCACCACCACCACCCAAAGACTGCCAGCAACTACGAAGACAGCACTGTCCTTGGCTGACTTCTTGCAGCAGCACTCCAATACTTGGTGACTCGATCAACATCCAGCCGTCCACTTCCTCGCAGCGAGCGGCAATAATCGAATAGAAACGATTTAAAAGTCTTGCGAAAGACCCTGCCCTCGTCAACAGGACTGTCCTGCATACCGCCGCCTTCTTCCGCTTCTCGGATCGCAAGAATTCGAACACGGCGCCAGGCATGACTGTCGTCCCATTTAAACATCTCCACGATCCTTTCCATTTGCATGCAAGCAGGAACAAGCTCTTAGCCACTGAAGTTTGTTCGGGGTTGGTGTCTCCAATCAAAACATTACCAGGCGAGGGGAACAACAGCAAGGGAGCTTTACCGCAGAACCTGGTTCTGTCGGAAACATTTCCAATCAAGCCTATGCGTCACAAGTTTTCAATGAGCTGGCCGCGGAATGACAAGGCTCGATGTGTATGTGCGAGGGCAGAAGAGGGGAAAGTTGCAATCCACTGTTGTTGGCGTGCAACCAGACCGTGAGACTTGCAAATGCTATGCAATCAAGAATCTCACCTTGCGGCACTTGGCGCCAAGCTTGCGATTTCGTGTTGGGTTCCTTGCGAACGGCCACCTGACGTGGATGTCCACTTTGCAAAACATCTCTAGGCTGCGGTTGCGCTGCATAGGGACCTTCTTGTAAACGACGCGATACCGAACTCCAGGACTCGCTGCATCAATTTGTGCCAGACTTTCTGGTTGGCTCTCCTGGTCAAGGTGCACCATGATTACAAGCTTGGTGCATAGTGTGTGTGGCCATGCAGCAGCTTCGTGACCACATGCCGTCCAGTCCTTCAGCTCCTCCATGCCCACCTCGAGTTTCAAACGCGAGGCCACGGATTTGGCGTCAGCTTCTGTCAGCTTGCCCAACATTTGGACAAGATGACCTCAGCAATGACACACCATAACCAGGATGAACATCGAATTTCTAGTCTCAGTTGAGTCTCTCTTTGGAACCGAGTCCTGGCCATCCCATCTTTTCAGCAAAGCTCGTGTTGCTGGATCCTCTGCCACGTCCTCAGGCTCTCAACCGGCTAGGGGCCAAAAAATACAAGGAAGCACACGTGCAGTTGTAACATCATCTCATCAGGAAATGAGGCGTGAGGCATGCTCCGAAATCACAGCTCTCTCTTGTTGCCACACCGCCGACTGAGGCCATGTCTGCAGCAACGGCACCATGCTCGGTCCGGTGCAAGGAATCCTCGGACATGCGTTTTTATGAGATATCATAACTTTTGCTTGGAGTACTATACATCTGCGCTGTCCCAACCTTCCTTGAGAAACAACGGGACCTACGGTCATGTAGTCAACCAGCACCCAGATAAAATTCAACGAGAACCGCTTTAATATCAGTACACATCGAAGCTAGAATGACCAGAGCTACGTTGGTTCGATCTGCAGGCGTGTTGCTGCCCCATGCAACAGCAGCGCAGCTACAATTCGCAGATTCGCTGCAGAAGCTGCTTCGAACAGCGGTGTTTCGCCTGTCGTTGCATCAGTTTTCCGCTGTAGAAGAAAGTTATGCAAATCAAGCAAACACACGCATGAGCTCTCACAGTGCGGGGCACATGTTTGAGGTGGAGTCTTGATACGCAGTTCGAAAACTAAATTATCGTTGTTGCGATGAGTTTCTGTTGCGTTGGCTGTATCGTGCGTGGCTCTGTGGCAACTGCTAATCCTTTTTTTGTTGTCCACTGCAGCTGCTGTCTGGCTGCCGCAGCGACTCCCCCTGTCACTACTCCTACTACTGCTCATCCTACTCCTACTCCTCCTACTCTGCTGCGACTACCACTACTCATCCTACTCTTCCTACTCCACTCCGACTACTGCTACTGCTACTGCTACTNNNCTACTACTACAACTACTACTGCTACAACCACTACCACTACCACGACCACTACTACTACTACTCTTCCTCCTCCTCCTCCTACTACTACTACTACTACTGCTACTACTACGAGGCCTACGACTACCACTACCACTACTACTACTACTACTACTACTACTGCTGCTACTACTGCTACTACTACTACTACTACCCCTACTACTACTTCAAGCATCTCGGCTGCACCGCCAGTGCCAGCTTAGAGGGCAGCGCCGCGCTCTAGGACGTGTCATGAGTTTCCGGTTCAGAGCTCTCTGTTTACGGCTGGCGCATCAAGTATGCAGTTTGGACGTCTCGGTGTATCATACGATGCTGACCTCTGGGTACCATGCCACAACAAGATCGTGGTCAACGAGTTTCAATGTCCTCGTAGAAGACATCACTTCATCTCCCGCATAGGAGAGACAATGCTGTGAAGAGCAGGGGGCTAAGTTCAAGACCCGCTTTATTTCAACGTCTTCGATTTGGCTTGGGGTTCCTCGCATCATGGAGTTGCTTTGTGGGCAGCCAGCAGATCAAAATACCCTGGGTCGTTCCCAAGTTCGGTCGCGCTCACAGAAGGACACAGCATTTACAACATGTTCTTTGTGGGTGCAGATGTGAGGGCTGCGTCGATCCCACTTGGACGTCTGAAGCCATTTTGGCGAAGCATGTGGGTGCTTCATGGGAGGCACAACTTCAATACGGACATTTCTAAGTGTGCTAGGCGAACTTATCGTCGTGCCTATGCCAGGGCATGCAGAAAAGGAGGAGCTTACTACCGAGGCTCTTGGCAGGAACACCGGTGGTTTAGACCAGTTCAGATCCAAACCAGAAGCCTGCCTAGGTCCGGCACATCCACATCACTCCGGATACGAATGTGGAACGCGGTTGACCTACATGCACGGGTACATGGAACTATGATGCAAACTAGAGCACCGCCGATTTCCACTTCATTCATTCGGCAGGCGAAAGAAGACCGGATCGGGGGCCTTCTTGTCATGGTCTCCACAAAGCTCGCCAGCAGCTCAGAGATTCAATTTCATGCAGTGCACCCAGGCAGCTTATTACAGGTACATGTGAATCGTTTTCAACCCATTGCCATCCTGAATGCCTACCAACACACACTGCCAATGATAACGAGGCCAGAAATTCCTGGTACAGCTCCAGGAGACGTTGAGAGGCATTCCGAATCGCCACATTCTTGTAGCAGCGCGTGATTTCAACACAACCTGCACGACAATGGACAAGGTGTGCGGGAAGCGGATTATCCAGGATCGGTAGCATAATTTGCAACAAATGGAAACGGGCATCGTTACCACTGCTCAGGAGGTCAGGAGGTCTACCCGAAAGCGGACCGACACAACCGGACACAGGATGAGGCAACGAAGGCTTTGGCCAACAGTGCGAAGGAGATGTGGGGGCTCTTCAGAAGTATGGGATCGCACAATTTCACGGCACAAGGGGTGTTTACGGCATGGCAACAGTGGTCTCAGTTTGCTAGAGCTCAGAGAGAACACAAAGCCCGGGCTAAGGAGCGAAGCAAAGCTCACAAACAAGGAATGCTTGCACCAGCACAACAAGCCGCCCAACAAGGTGATATGCACTAGTTCTGGAATTGGTCAAAACACTGGCGCCAAAGATAAAGCGGCCGCTGCAATTGTACGATAAAGCGGAAACCGCTGCAATTGTACAAACAAGGCCACATCATGACTCCGGAGGCAGAACTGGACTGGATCATTGAAGCCTTCGCAGAACGATGCGGCGCCACGGACCCACCTTCAACCCAGTCATCCTAGACAACATGCACCATTACAAGTCTCGGTGGCAGAGGTCTGGCATCAGCTCGAACATCTCCCCTCGGAAGGCCGTGCCCAAAAACGCAGCTCCCTCTGCGGTTCGGCGTGCGTGCTCTACGGAAACAGCTCGTTTCATCACGGAACAGGTGAACCATCAATGGAGCAAAGAGGATTTGCATATCGAATAGGAATGGGCCAACGCCCCGGTCGCACGCTTACCGAAGCCAAAGGGCAAGAACGACAAGCCTCTGGACTGGAGGACCATCGGACTACAGCCTCCGATCGGCAAGGGCCTCATGCGCATTGTCATCTCCCAGGCTAACGAGCAGATCCATGACATGGTGTATACTTGCCCGCAATGTGCGCATGTACCCAATAGGTCGACTTTTACCGCACCCGAGCATGCTTTCCGACACTGTGAAGCAGTACGCAACCTTCCCTGAGAAATCGTACCAACCTACATCAACAACATGCATCTCCAGCTCCAAAGTAGTGGTGGCCTCCAGATCTGCATGGACCTTACGACGCTTTTGATCTTGTGCCTTGGGCAACCATTCGAGAAGCCTGAGAGCTCGCTCAGGTGAATCCTTCCTTGCAAAAGGTTGTCTTGCAATGGCTTGGACCGGTCAAACATATTTTCCAGCACGAACAACTTGAAAAGGAGATCTGGCCCAGCTGCGGTCTGCGACAAGGCTGCATTGGAAGCCCGGTGGCCAGGCTGATGCAGGCGGAGGAGGAGTTCTGGGGCTGCAATGATGGGAGGGCAGCCAAACGGCTGACGGAGCTGAGAACTTCAAGCATCAAAGCTTGTTGCGCGATCTTTTACTGTGATGCTTCAGCTCTAGATCGGCTCGACCACTAGGCAAAACTTGGCGACATGTATGCTCTAGGTCCTCCGGGACAGTACATGTCGTGCCTGTCTGAAACGACCAAACGGTCGTGAGTCAATGACTCCGGGCATCGAGCGATGCTTGCTCCACCCCAGACGCTCGGCCACCGGACATTCCGCGCTGCGTGCAATCCTAGCTGCTGCTGCTGCTACTACTACTACTACTACTACTCTCCTACTTTTGCTACTTCTACAACAACTGCTGCTGCTACTACTACTACTACTACTACTACTGCTACTACTACTGCCACTACCACCACGACGACTACTACTACTACTACTACTCCTGCTACTGCTACTGCTACTGCTACTGCTACTACTACTACAACAACAACTACTACTACTACTACTACTACTACTATTACTACTGCTGCTGCTACTGGTAGTACTAGTACTAGCACTGCTACTTCTATTGCAACAACAACAACAACAACACCAACACCAACACCAACACCAACACCAACAACAACAACAACAGCAACAACAACAACTACTACTACTACTACTGCTACTGTACGTCTCTACTGGTACGACTTATACATGTACCATTACTACTACTGCTACCACTACGACGACCACGATCACGACCACGACTGCGGCACTGCGACTGCGACTGCAACGACAACGACGGTTTAGGGTTTAGGGTTTAGGGCTGCTCGTATTGCTACTACTGTCACTGCTGCTACTGATGCTGCTCCTACTCGTCATACTCTGCACCCCGACTCCTACTCCTACTCCTACTCCTGCTGCTGCAGGTACAATCCGGCTGCAACCGCAACTACAACTACAACCGCAACAACATGCTTAGCTGAAGTTTCTAATTTCGCGTTTGCTCTCTTGCCTCTCCTAGTGGCCGTGCGAAGAAAACTACTGCCTCTGATAGATTGGGACCTGCTGGCCATGTTCAGCTTCACGAGCTGGCGCCAGTCGACCAACAGCAGCAAACTGCGCGCCTTCGCTCCGTTTTGTGGCTTATAGTAAACCCCAAAAAGTTGGAAACCGGATTAAGGACAAATGGTGCTGGGATTCCTTATACATTACTCTTAAGGACTGAGGCTATTGGGTTTCCAACTTTTGGGGTTCTACTGTAATGACTTAAAGCACAGGTACCGAACCAGGATGCTCGAACAGACATTGCTCCCTGGCAAGCACGTCCCTTGCGAAATTGCCCTTCTAGGATGAGCCTTTCAAGCTACAAGATCTCAACAATTTTGAGAGCATGATGTGCACACACACACACACCACTCACCACCCACAAGACAAGAATGCAAGCGTGCACACATTGTTGATTCTGCCTGTGGCGCTGCGGTGTGCAAGCTCTCATGGCAGTTCCTTGGTAGTCAACGAGACCCTTGGAAGTCATGACAGCCTACCCCCGCCATCAAGTCAGCTCTCATGTCAGAAGATACCTGGTGCTCTGCTCAACCGCGTGATCTGCACACTCAGTCCTGTGCTCGGCGGGGCGTATATACCGCAGTGACATGGCATGCTGGCGCCAGAGAGCTGTATCCTGCCCGGCATCTCGATTCCTATCACCTGAACGTGCCGTGTGTGTGCAGGTAAACTATAGAAAGGGGTAGAGAGACTTGGAAAGAGATTTTTCACTGTGAGGTCCACAGAAAAAGCTACTACGATCCTCAAACATGGCACCTTAACACGGCAGGTCCTGGCACGCTCTTCTCAGAGTGTGGCATGCTTGCGCATTGCAAAGCGACCTCGGCGCCCGAGTTCCGAGATGTGGGCTAATGGGTTTAGGGTTTAGGGTTTAAGGTCTTAGGGTTTAGGGCTTAGGGCTTGGAAGCTTCAAGCTTTTTGGACTACACGGCATTAGAGTCATCAAGTTAGAGCTTCTTAGAGCGAATTCCGCCTTTTTCTGATTGTCCAGGCCGTCCTTGTTTGTGCTTCGGCTTTCGGGTTGGGGCTTTTTTCAAGACATCTGCAACCCTATGACCCTATGAGCCTTTCAAACCATGGTCTTCCGACGGCTTCTTGCAATCTGATCCGGCGTTGTGCCAGCCACGGGCCCTGATTTCTCTGCAGCAATGTGCCGAGAACTTGGCTCAGCCACCGTGCCGAAGGACGCGATGCAGTTCCAGACGGGCCTCGTTTGGAACCGGTTTCGCTCTAAGCGGAATCAAGGCCTCTGCTTCTGGCAGCAGTGACTAGGTAGTCTGGGTGCTATGGTTCACAGGATTCTCTCCATCTCGCCATGGAAATGAAAGACCTCAGGATCCCACAGCAGACGTTCAAATCCATGAGAGTTCTTCTCTGCGCACATCTTTGACGACGCCATCGTGCCTCGGTGCACCAAAGATGCCCGGAAAGAAGAGCCCCGTATCAACACACGCATGCAGCAGCCATTCATAAGCCCGCGGCATTTGAAATGGGCGTCTCACGTCCCGTTAAAAAGTTTTGGAAAAAAGTTTCCACCGAGGCTGGGCTTCTTGATCGCCGGTGCGAGCTGTGGCTTGGTTCGGTCAGGGTGCTGTGGGGCAAGTCGCTGGAACTACTTCGTGCATTTGGTCCGTAACCCACAGGGAAGGGAGGCGATCAGATTGGATGATCGACGACTTCCTGGTGCTGCAAAAGCACGCTGCATGCTGGGCTTGTCTTGCTTCTCATTCCTAGCTGAGCTGCCCCCCTACAAGCTTATAAGCCTGGAAGCACACGCCAGGCTGTGTCGATCGAATGCCTGCTGTAGCCTCTCACAAAGCACTGCTGCAAACCTGTCAAAGCTGTGGCACATTCCACGACCAGGTAGCCTCCTGCCTTGCCAGCTTTTTGCTTGTGGTGGCCCCAGCTGCGGACTGTGGCTTCTGCTCTCAGCACCATGCGTGACCTGCAGCTACCAGGAAAGCATAATTATCGTAATCATAATAATGATCATAAAGAAACAATGATAGCAATAATAATCATAATACTAATAATAGTAGTGATGATAATAGTAGTAATGATAATAATAATAATAATGATAATAATAATAATAGAAATAATAATAATAATAATAAAATGCCCCTGCTGAAACAAAGACCTGGCCAACCCCAGGCCTCGGATGGGCCCAGGGCTGTGCGGAGGCTGCCAACACCGGGACGACGCTGCCAGCAGGGCTCCTGAGAGGGACTGGAAACTACAAGCGGGGCATATAGCTGCCGCTTAGCATGAATTTCATGGTATCTCTTGCAAAAAGTAGCTGCGGCAGCGACAACGGAACCGCTAAACTTTCGTGCGCCTACACAAACACGCAAAAACACAGCTAGACCTAGTACCGGATGATCAAAGCGAGTAAAGGCAGGACTCTGCTTGTGAAACATTGTCCGGCGTAATTGGAATGGCACACCAAAGCCAGGCAACTTACAACATCCGTCGTAGACAGAATTTAAGTTTGCTATGATTCAGTGCGTTGCATGAGTTTCTCAAGTCTGTGAGCTCAATTATGTGCTCATGCCTGCTAACAGCGATCGTTGCCAGCAACAGCAATGTAGTAGGAGTAGCAGTAGGAGTAATAGGAGTAGTAGGAGTGGCAGGAGTAGCAGAAGGAGTAGCGGAAGCACAAGGAGCAGTAGGTGCAGTAGGTGTAGTAGGCGTAGTAGTCGTCGTCGTCGCCATAGCAGCAGCAGTAGGCAGTAGCACTAGCACTAGCAGCACCAGGAGCAGCAGCAGCAGCAGCAGCAGTAGCAGTAGCAGCAGCGGTGGCGGTGGCGGTAGCGGTAGCGGTAGCAATAGCGGTAGCCGCAGTGGCAGCAGCAGGAGTTTTTAGTCGTCGTCTGAACTGCTGTATAGTGTGTAGTGATCGGACCTTCTACGGTACCACAGACATGGCGCAAGCTTTCTGAGGAGCATGACTTTTTGGTTGTTGCGCAAGCGGCAAGTTTGCCATAAAGTTGAATTCGGTACTCAGGCTTGTTGGACTGAAAAACGGGTGCTCCTCATGACACCGCCTATGCTCTACAATAAACACATCCTGTGCTTGACGTGCTCCAGCATCGCAGCTGTAGACAGCGACTCAATATCCAGGTGTCGTCACTTCGCTAACCTGGAAAACAGCAACTCGATCTGAGGCAGAAGTGCTTTGTTGCTTAGGTCTTGGATCCTCGCTGGCAAGGCTGGGTGCTCATCCGACTGTGAAGGTCGTGCCGTTTCTTTTGAAGGCAGACCAGCTGATGAGACACCCAGCCAGGAGTAGCAGGATTCTTTTCACTTGATCTTGGACCTGGTGAGCCTATGTCCTCTAGACCTCGCGATGCGAACATGGCAAATCATGCCAGGCAGTACTATACACTGGTGCAGGTGCAGAAGACTGAGAATACTGAGAACCCGCTGTCTCTAGCCTAAGTCACTGTCGAAGCAAGGTTCCCTTTCAGAATCGCTTGCACTCGGACGCTGAAAGACAGCAAAATCTGCACATGCACCTTGCCAGCTATGCATAGCTTTCGAAAGAAGTGTTTTGGAAAGGAGCCTAAGAGTCAGCGGTTGTCTGACTCCAAAAATGCGCGCAGCTCTGCAAACTGCTGTTCAGGCTGCTTTCTGCTCAGCGTTGAGGCGCTGGCTCCCGTACCTGAAACCCCGAAACAATCGCAAAGTACCTAGTTGCCGCAGGTGATGGAATCCTCTCGAAGTTGAACCCATCAACCGTCAAACGAAGAATCGAAGAACTTCCCTCCCGGCCTGAAAAACGGGGCAATATGATAAGATCATGGTCATGGACTGAGGAAACGCGGTCCGTTTGGATCTGCAAGGGTCCCAGCTGCCAGACCTGAAAACACAGCTGTGGCGCCACAGAGCGCAGCTGACGGCAGCATCATGCAGCTCCTTTGAAGGCTGTCCCCGGCGCCTGCGACTGTCAGCGCGGCCCAGTCGGCAGCATGGCCACCTTGGCTTCAGAAACTTCGGAAGACAACTGCTGCTTTCTGGTTGCCCGATCGCACTGCAATGCAACCAGGGCGCTGATAAGCCCGGCCATGCGTCCCGTTAGGGAGGTTGGCTTTGGCTCTTGCTCGGACTCGCGCACGCCTTTGAGTGACGAGGCTCCAAGTGCCTTCGAAGCAGCAAGGGGCAGAGGGCCTTGTGCTGTGTCGATGGAGTAGAACGAGGGCACCCTCTGGATAGCAGGCTCCTGCAGATGTCCCGATGTCCCGCGGAGCATTTCCCGAAGATCTGGGGGCCCAGCATGGTCGGGTGGAGGAAACGAAGGTGGTGGCATCGGAGGCCGCACGCCTTCGGCACAGAGGGGCAATGAAGCACATGAGGCTTGGAATTTTGGGGTCTCACGGATTCTGGGTTGTGCACTGCCCACTGCTCTCCCCGTGCCACGCTACTACTACGAAACAAGCACATTTCCTGCACGAACTCACAAACACCGTCAATCCGAGCGAAGGGACAGATGGACGAACCCCCAACTTGATACCCTGGGGGGATTCCTCAAGACTCGTGTGGACAATTCTTTGAGCAAGGCCTCGTAAGCTTTCTGCAACCCGGCGCCCGGCACCTGGGAGTCGGACGAAGACCGACCCAGACAGCTGCAGGGCATCGGCGCTAAGGCGGGCGCGGCGTAGCCGCTTTGCTGCAAAGCAGACCTCGGCACGCGCCCGCATTCAGCAAGTGCCCACGGCTGCCCCGCAGTCTGCTGCTGTAAGCCCTAGCCCTAACCAAAACTCTGAACGCCGAACTCCTAGCCACGATCGCAAGGTGTCTTGGGCTGCCGACAAAAGCAGCACTCGTGAAGGAGATGTCGGTCGGTTTGTTGGCCCGCCTGGGCACATTTTGCATATTTTTTCGGCTCTCCTCTTGGAGCTCCCACAGAAAGTCCCTGCTGCCCTGCACTTTGAAAGAAGCGAACCGCGAGGCTTAAGGACTCCACCCGTAGCATGCCGGCTGCTGGCCGAGCCCTCGCCGAAGCGCGTCCTGCAAGGAAAAATACCGTAGAGTTGCTCATTCTTTTCAGGGCGAAAAAAACAGGTGCTTCGACAGACTGTCGGAGAGCGTCCACTCCAGGCCTCCTTGACGGAATGGAAGGTGCCCACTGGCGGTGCTGGAGCGAAATCCGTGCCTGAGGACCGCTGAAACCCTTCTCGCCATATCAGGGGCTCTCTGAGGTTCAGGCTCGGTCCGCTACCAGTGCATCTCAAGTGGTCCTGAGAACGGTGATAGCAGATAGTATGTCGCGTGCAACACTCGGCCAAGCGACACCGCATGCCGGCAAGCACCGGGCTAAGGTCGCAGCCAGCTTCCCAACAGTGGTGCAGAGTCTTGCCTCAATGCGACAGGTAATGCCAAGTTTTTGTTCCGCAGTTCTCCTAGTAGCCTTTGGTCGAGCATCATCAGCAAGCTGGGATGCCTGACGGCCTCTTCGTCATCCACCGGCTGATCGGTCCTGACCGTAATGTATGAAAGGCCTTTTCTGGGGGGCCTAGGCACGGGCCAGTATGTTCAGCAGGTGGTGTCCGTCCTCCCTGTGAAGAAGCCAGTGCCATACTTCACCAGGAGAGAGACGCCTGGGCACTCACGGCCCGCCCTTCCAACCTAGCCTCCAACATTACTCCCTGTCGCTTCCTTCCACAACCAACCTTTCAAATCAAACATGATGTTGCGGGCAACAGAGCAACACACGAAGCGTCAGCTGTTCTACACATTTGTGTAGATATTTACACACATGGGCCAGATGCGTATAAAGATGCGTGTGGATGTATACGTGTATCATAAATATGTGTGTATATATATATAGATAGATAAATAGATAGATAGATAGATAGATACAGATATAGATATAGGTGCAGATAAAGATACAGATAAAGATACGGATAAAGATATAGATGCAGACATAGATATAAAGATACAGATATAGAGATAGATATTTACAAGCACCTACATGCATACAGACATACATGCAGACATGCCTACATGTACCTGCGCATCCATCCATTCATCCATCCGTCCATCCTTCATTCTATCATATTCTATCTGTACGCGCGTACGTGCATACGCACATATGTATGTCTGTGCATGCGTGTATGTATGTATGTATGTATGTATGTATGTGTATATATATATATATACATATATACATGCCTGCATACTTACATGCATACAAAAATCGACACGTACATACATGTGTCAGTGCATGTGTATACACACGCGTGCACGTATGCATGGATATTCTAACGATGTCTGGATGGATGAACCACAACATGGATGATAAAATGACATATGCATAACTGTATGTATGGGTATCTTGTGGTACTACATATGCTATACATGCCTACATGCGTGCAAGCATACATGTTTAAGTCATATACACGTGTTTTTTCTCCTAACACGCTTTCGGGACACCCCGTGCTCTAGTTAGCATGTATGTATGAATGCATGCACGTATGATATGTAGGTAGGTATGTGCGTATGTGCGTATGTGCGTACACGAAAAGTGATCTAATGCATATGCACGAACTAGCCTATCATATTGTCGCACACTGGACCCTGAGAGCGCCACCCAGAAGAATAACCTCAGCTTCTGCACCGATGCGTCATGAGATTCTGTTCGCAAAATTTACAGTCTAACGATCCTATTGGAACTCCAACTTCACGGAGTCTGAAGGACTGCGGGCTGAAGTGCTCTAGAACCATTCACCCTGCCACACCTCACGTCCCAAAGAACACTGGGGCGCTCCGCAGCTCATACGACGTGCTCTATTATTATTATTATGATGATGATGATAATTATTATGCCTATTGTAGTTATTATTATTGTTATTGTTATTCATTATGGAGCACGTATTAGTAGGCCTTTGCCACCATTCCCCTGCTCTTCGGGTAGCTCCGGCCGAAGACCCAGAAAGGCACCACCATTGCAGCAAGGAGGCCAGATTCTCGAGACTGCAGAAGCCGATGAAAATCCCAAAGATCTGCGGCCACCGTGTTTTCGGGTCTGGGGTGTGAGCATGTTTCTCCGGGTCTCTCGCTGCCTCTGTGCGCCACCACGACTCCTACCCATATCTACATCGGCCTGTAAACTGGCAGGCCTGCTGTCCCACGCCAATGTCCCCGGACGTGATCTTCCACACCGAGAGGATGACGTAGAAAAGCCAAAGGCTTCCGAGGAAGACCCCGGACATCACCTGCGCTTCAAGATGTCTCGAAGCACTGAGTGGTTGAGCTTCACGATGCAAGCAACACCGCAAGGGAAATGATTATGGCCGCTCATCGCCAGCCGCAAAATCTGGAAGAGGCTCTTGGATGTGAAGGCCTTCAGTCCTCCAGGGCCACCGAGCCTGCAGCAAGCCCGAGATATTGGGTCTACGTCGCCGCCGAAAACGCGCGCGCACAGCCGCAGATCGTTTTCTGGTGGACCCTCCGACCACCCGACTCAAAAAGGCTAGAATCGTCTCCCCGGGTCCCCGGCTCTGCTCCCAGCCGGCTGCGGCGCAAGTAGATCACCAGCAGAGCTGAAATTCGGGGAGCAAGACTCGAGGGATGCCAGGATGGCCGCAACGATGCTTGCCCCGTTGCAAACAACTCGCTTTATTCTTCCCGATTAAAGCTTAAGTACATTGGGTTGGACGGCTTCATGAATTGTGCACAACCTCTCCAAACCGGCTCGGCGTCAATGACGACAGCGTGGCAACACCGGTGATGTGAGTCGTGTAGGAGGTGGTAGCTTCGCTGCTCAACACTGCTCAGCTCAACAAGGACTTCCACCAACACGAGCAAAGTAAAGCTCTTGAAGCCCACAAGCTTGCTCGACAGTGCAACTTTGTGTGAAGCTTGAGAAGCACGCAAAGGAATAACACGAGGACAGACAACTTACGAAGCAAGTTGGTACCAGCAGACATGTGAGTAACAATGCAAATGATAAAAACAAAAAACGACAGTATCTGCATTAGGAACATTGGTCACAAGCCGTCATTGGCCAAACGGAATGAGGCATGCGACGAGACTAATAACGAAGGATACCATCACAGAAGAGCCTGAACCCGCTCTTGACCTCATCACGTTCGCGAAAGAACATGCCAGGAACACCCAAGGCGGCGGCGACCTTTGCTCTGCTGCAAATGCTACACAATCCCCAGCACGGGGATTCAGACATGTTCAGGATTTGATCACCAAAGATGCCTTCAAGACTGCAATCTCATCTGCTTGGGTTCCCACATTGAACACCGCCACGCTGAAGGCGAGGTCTCCACCCTGCACGACGAAGGCCCCCTTCGGCCACTGGCCTGCGGATGCTGCGGAAGACTTGGCGATCTCATTCACGGCTTGAGGACTTAGAAGGCCAACCCTAAATCCTAAACCCTACTTAGAATTAGAGCCTAAGTATCTGGCAAGTAGGCGTTGCCGGTCTAACTGGACCCTGAGGTTGTGGCCAAGCCCACAACCGGGCTTCTTCTGCCCTCCTTGCTGCAAATTCGCGGACAACAAATCCATACACTCATACACTCACCAATATTCTTCAAAAGCCCTTTATTTATGCCCTCAAACCTAAACCCTGCTTTACAACTGGATAGCAGGCGACCATCTGGATGTGCAGCCCCCCAGGCGGCTGATCGTGTTGCCATTTGTTGCATCTGCTGCAAAGTATTGACCGGACCTGTTTGATGCGTCTCCCTAGCCGGCCTTGCAAATCCGGATAGCGCGCAAGCCAGGTATCTGTTGTCCCCATCACCTGCACGTTCGGCCGAACATTCGGAGCGAGAAGGAACAGCAGCAGCAGAGTCAGCGTCGTGTCATGTCGCATTGCAATGCGACGCCAGCAGCCGCAGCGGCAGCAGCAGCAGCAACAACAACAACAACAAGAACAAGAGTAGACGGAGTCGACGTCGTCGTCGTAGTCGTATTAGTCCTAGCAGTCAGTAACCCTCGCAGTCGCCGTAGGTGTCGGAGTCACAGCAGTCCTAGTACTAGTCCTGGTGGCAGACGTGCTGGAGCAGCGGTCGTGGTCGCAGACGTGGTCGTACTCGTATTCGTCATCGTCGTGGAAGTGGTGGTGCACTAGAAGTAGTAGCGAGTAGCAGAGGTAGTAGTAGCAGTAGTCGTCGTCGTCGTGTCGTCGTCTTCGGTGTGGTCGAAGTCGTCGTAGCGGCATTTGTTCTTCTACTTGTTGTTGTTGTAGTAGTAGTCGTC